TTCATTTTATTAATGTGATGTATCACGTTGATTGATTCGCGAATGTTGAACCATCCCTGCATACCCGGAATAAATCCACTTGATCATGGTGTATAATGTTTTTAATGTATTGTTGTATGTGTCTTGCTAGTATTTTGTTGAGGATTTTTGCATCAATGTTCATCAGTGATATTGGCCTGTAATTTTCTTTTTTTGTGTTGTCCTTGTCTGGTTTTGGTATCAGGGTAATGTTGACTCCAAGAATGAGTTAGGGAGCTTCCCCCGTCCTCAATTTTTTGGAAGACTTTGAGAAGGATAGGTATTAAGTCTTCTTTGAATGTTTGGTAGAATTCAGCAGGGAAGCCATTTTGTCCTGGACTTCTGTTTTGGGGGAGGCTTTTGATTACTGTTTCAATTTCCTTGCTGGTGATTTGTCTATTCAAATTCTCTATTTCTTCTTGATCCAGTTTTGGAAGGTTGTATGATTCTAAGAATTTATCCACTTCTTTCAGAGTGTCGAATTTGTTGGCATATAACTTTTCATTTTATTCTCTTGTACTCTTTCGTATTTCTGAGGTATCTGTTTTAATTTCTCTTCTTTCATTTCTGATTTTCTTATTTGAGACTTCTCTCTTTTTTTCTTGGTGAATCTAGCTAAAGTTTTGTCAATTTTGTTTGTCATTTTAAAGAACTAGCTCTTGGTTTTATTAGTTTTTTCTACTTTTTTTTTTAGTCTCTATTTCATTTATTTCTTCTCTGGTTTTTATTATTTCCCTTCTTCTACTGATTTTGGGCTTTGTTTCTTCTTCTTTTTCCAGTTGCTTTAGGTGCATTGTTAGATTGTTTATTTGAGATTTTTCTTGTTTGTTGAGATAGGCTTGTATTGCTATAAACTTCTCTGTTAGAACTGCTTTTGCTGTATCCCATAAATTGTGGCATGCCATATTTTCATTTTCATTTGTCTCCAGGTATTTTTTGATTTCTCCTTTGATTTCTTCATTGACCACATCGTTGTTCAGTAGCATTTTGTTTAATCTCTACATATTTGTGGCTTTTCTGATTTTCTTCCTATAGTTGATTTCTAATTTCATACCATTGTGGTCAGAAAAGATGCTTGGTATCATTTCAATATTCTTAAATTTACGTAGACCTGATTTGTGGCCTAATATGTGATCAATACTGGAGAATGTTCCCTGTGCATTTGAAAATAACGTGTATTCTTCGGTTTTTCGATGGAATGCTCTGTATATATCTACTAGGTCCATCTGTTCTAGTGTGTTATTTAAGGCCAATGTTTCCTTATTGATCTGTTTGGATGATCTATCCATTGGAGTAACCGGAGTGTTCAAGTCCGCTACTATTATTGTGTAACTGTCTATTTCTCTTTTTATGTCTGGTAATAATTGCTTTATATATTTAGGTGCTCCTACGTTGGGTGTGTAGGTGTTTACAAGTGTTATATCCTCTTGTTGGATTGTTCCCTAATCATTATGTAATGCCCTTCTTTGTCTCTTTTCACAGTTTTTGTTTTAAAGTCTATTTTGTCTGATATGAGTACTGCTACCCCAGCTTTCTTTTCATTGCCATTTGCGTGGAGTATCTTTTTCCATCTCTTCACTTTCAGTTTGTGAGTGTCTTTAGGTCTGAAGTGTGTCTCTTGTATGCAGCATATATATGGGTCTTGTTGTTTTATCCAATCAGCCACCGTATGCCTTTTAATTGGAGCATTTAGTCCATTGATGTTTAAAGTAGCTATTGATAAGTATGTACTTACTGCCATTTTATAACTTTTTTTTTCAATGTTTTAGAAGTCCTTCTCTGTACCTTTCTCCTTCTATACAGAATTGATGGTCTCTTTAGTTTGACCTCTGTCTGAAAGCTCTACTCTTTAATTCCCTTCCTCCTTCATTTTATGTTTTTGATGTCATATCTAACCTCTTTTTTGTGCATTTGTATCCGTTACCCTCTTATCATGGAAATGGATAATTTTTCCTATTTGTGGTCTTCTCTTTTCCCCTTAAATCAGTCCCCTTAGAATTTCTTATAGCACTGGTTTCTTGGTGACAAAGTCCTTTAATTTTTGCTTGTCTGGGAAACTTTTTATCTCTCCTTCCATTTTGAATGATATCCTTACCGGGTAGAGTATTCTTGGCTGTAAGTTTTTTCCTTTTAGCACTTTAAATATATCATGCCACTCTCTTCTAGCCTGTAAGGTTTCTGCTGAGAAGTCAGCTGATAGCCTTATGGGGTTTCCTTTCTATGTAACTTGTCTTTCTCTTGTGGCTTTTAGGATTCTCTTTATCTTTAATTCTCGAAATTTTGATTATGATGTGTCTTTGTGTGGGCCTCTTTGTGTTTATCTTGTTTGGGGCTCTCTGTGATTCCTGTACCTGGATGTCTGCTTCCTTCCTTAGGTTAGGGAAGTTTTCATCTATTATTTCTTGAAATAGTTTCTCTGCCCCTTTGTCTTGCTCTTCTCCTTCTAGGACACCTATAACATGAATGTTAGTGTGCTTGATGTTGTCCCAGAGGTCCCTTAGACTGTCCTCACTCTTTTTAATTCTTTTTTCTTTTGCCCGTTCAGCTTGGGTGATTTCTTCTAATCTTTCCTCTAGCTTGCAGATCCGTTCTTCTGTATCCTCTACTCTGCTTTTGAGTCCCTCTAGTGAATTTTTCGTTTACAGTATTGTATTCTTCATTTCTCATTGGTTCTTTTTTATATCTTCCATTCCTTTGTTGATGTTCTCACTGAGTTCATCTATTCTTCTCCCCAAAACAGTGAGCATCCTTAGCACTCTTTTTTTTAATCTCTGTTGGGTAGGTTGCTTATTTCTGTCACTTAGTTCCTTTTCTGGAGTTTTGTCCTGTTGCCTTACTTGGAATGTATTCCTTTGCCTTCTCATTTTTCCTCTTTCCCTGTGCTTGTGTCTGTGTATTAGGTAGGTCAGCTACGTCTCCTGTTCTTGGATAGGTGACCTTATATAAGTGATGCCTTAGGAGGACTGCAGTGTGCTTTCCTCAGTTCTCAACATTCCAGGAGTGACCCCTATGTGGGGTACGTGTGTCCTTCTGTTGTGGCATGTTTGCTCTCCCTGTAGGTTCCCAGGGAGGCTGACTTATACTCCTGGCCAGCTGTTGTAATGCTCAGCTGCTTGTAGTGGTTGTGGGCCCTTCAGTCTGTTTATTGGGTGTGGGAAGCCCCAGCACAGTTGGCTTCAAGTTCTAATACCACATTTGTGTTGCAGCATTTCTTTTAAGTGAGTAGGCCCCCAGCATGGCAGGTTAGGCTCAGGGTCTTACAATTGTTATAAGCCTCCAGCCTTTAGGTCTCTTGTCAGCTCTCTGAGGATTGCAGCTGGGTGTGGGTGGCCTTAGGCATGGGAGCACCCAATTGTTTCATGCTTTGGAAGGTGAGGCACACCCCCTATGTGGGTCTTTGAGAAGCGCAAGTCTTCTGCAGCTGACAAGCCCCGCCACCCACAGGTCCACACGCACATTCAACACACTCTTGCCCCATGTGCACACTCCAACTTCCTGAAGTGGACCCAGTCTCTCCACAGCAGGAGCCCCACACACTCCACTACTGCCCCACACTCTCCACCCACTCCTGTGCACCCCCTGCCCCACTGAAGTGGGCTCAGTCTCCAGGCTGCAGAGAATCCAGTCACCAATCTATGCAGGCCCACACGTTGCCTGAGGGCTTGTTGTTGGGTGGGGCTAGTCCCTAGGGTGGGCTCTCTGCCCTGGCTGAGCTGGATTAAATCGGTGCTCTAGTGGGTGGGGCAGCCCCTGGGCTAGCAGGTCCCAGGGAGAACTCCAATGGTGTCTGTGTCAGCACGCCCACATCAGGCCATGACAATGGCCGCTGCCAATGTCCCAGTCCCTGGCGAGGTCTCATCTCTCACTGCAATGCACTCCGAGCCTATCAGGTGAGTCTTTTTTCCCCAAATCACTGTGCACCTTTTTTTCTGTTGATTTTAGGTTGCTTTCTGAAACGGGTGAGTCTGCACGTGGGCCCTTTAAGAGCCGGTTTTCATTTCTTTGTGAACCAGCTTTTCTGGGAGTACTCCCCAATGTTTTGGTAGCAGGCAAAGTCAGATATTATGCCCCTGGTCTCGATTGCACTGGGTCCACAGAATGCCTACAGTGGGAGGGCTCCCCGGCTCAGGGCCCTGCTCATCCAGGGAGGGCTGGGTACCTTTGGGCTGCTCCCAGGCGGCCGTGAAGCGCTGCAGCTTGTGAAGGCGGCACTTTTTCTCTCCAGAAGGGAGTTTCTGTGTCTGCCACCTCAATTAGGATTGTCCTTTGTTGCAGGAGTTCCTCTTATCCAGTTTTCAGTTCTGTCTCAGGGGTAATTTTTCCACGAGTAGTTGTAAATTGGCTGTGTTCGTGGGAGGAGGTGAGTTCAGAGTCTGCTTATGCCACCATCTTGAATTCTCTCCTAGATTCTAGGACCTTAAGTTAAAAATTTTATGGTCCATTCTCCAGGGAGAGCATGATGGGGCTGTAATTTACTCATCAATTTGTCTCCTACTGAGATCAAAGTTTGTAGCTTTCTCTGAGACAGATGAAACAGAATATTTTCATATATGTGAGACAAGATGTGAGTAGTTAGGATTCAAATGCTTCATTATATATAGATGGTCAGTTGAGTGGTCTGGCAGAGGCCATCAGGATTCAGGCATTTCTGCCTTGAATGAGAAGTTCTCCAACTCTGGAGTGATTCAGGTACATCCTTGGATTATGTGACTCTCAAGAGGACTGCAGTCTTGCCTGGTATCTGGTAGCAGAGAAACTAAGTTGCAGTTTCCTTGGAAGACAGAGTCTGGAGGGTTATGATGATCAAATGATGATCAAAGCCTTGAGAAGCTATTCACATCAAGATGTCAAAGCAGTACTTAAATAATTCTATTAAGTATTGATTTTCATTATTGGGGTTCTCTCACGCTACGTAACATGCTGTTTGATATTTTAAGAAAGATCCCTCTACTTCCTCTTTTCGCTTCATTAACGTGACCAGCTATACTCAGAGAAGTACCTTGCTGAGTTCACTCCCCAGCTGTAGGAACCAGCCTGTCTTCTAAGAGCTGCTCCTCCTCGGGCTCTCAGAGCAGTCTTCCATGCTACTGTGGGCGTCCTTGCTGGTTCTCGGTAAGTGATGGAGTGAAAGCCTTTGCTTGCTGAGAAACCTGAACTTCTCCATGAGCAAAGGCCTCTCCTCTGGGCTGCTGAACAAATGGATTTTACTCCCATTTCAGAATAGTAGAAAATGAGCAAAGGGGGAAGATATTGATTTAATGGTATGAGAAAAAAAATTGATTTCCAGAAGTGTCTTCATCATTTGCTTTTAATTGCCTACAGAAAATTCTTCCTATTCCAAAAGTGGGCTTATTTTCCATGCAAAAAAACTATAGCCAGATTCAGTTACCTCCCTAAATACAGGTCATGAAGACCCAGGGTAAAAGATGAACTGCGTCCCTTGTGAAAGGACCATGTCCTAATTGTGAGCTGATGTAGAATGATCTTCTGCTGAGAATAGTTATTTCCTTCTCTGTGTTTAAGATCAAACCTGCTCTGATGTTTGCAAAGAGCATGAGAAGAGAAGAAATAAGATGGTTTCCCTTTGATTTTTATCTTCCCTGCTTCTGTACTATTTGTCAATATTTGTCCAAATGAGGTTCTCATTTCCTAGTAGCTCAACCTGGGGAAATAAAGACCTGTCAGTCATTTGCACGCTAAATCTTTATTAAGCATGTTTGTCTTGTTCTCAGCTGTATCTCCAGACTCTAAGTATGGGAAGAGCTATTAGTGTGGCTGGCTCATCATGGGAACTCAGTAAATAGAGAATGACTGGGTATATTGGACATGGTGCAGTGCGGGCACTGCAGAGAACTCAGGGACATGGAGGACATGGCCTCTGCCCTCAAGAGCTGACTCCCCTATAAGGAAATTGAGTACAGATGCAAGAATATTTGACTTGGCAGTACAAGAAAAATATTACACAATAGGTCATAGGATAATGTAGATGATAATAATTAATTCCTGCTGGTAATAATTAATTCTTGCTGAGCCCTGACTATACCAGATACTCTTCTAAGAATATTCCATGTATTAATTTATCTAATCTTCTAACAATCAGTGAGATGGAATTGCTATGAACCCTATTTTACAGATAAGGAAACTGAGGCACAGAGATGGTCTCTTGTCTTAAGTTTCATGCAGTAGTACAGTGACAGTGTCACAGCTCGGACCCATAATCTAACATTAGAACTATGCTTTTAACCACAACTCCATCCTGCATGTCCAATTATGAGTTCCAAATGAACTGTGATGGTCGTGTTCTGAGTCAAGAGAAGAATGAGGGTGTTACAGCCTAGAGGCATCTGAGAAGGCTTCATGGATGAGGTGGGATTTCATCTGGGCCTTAATGCATGGGTGTGACTTGACTTCGCTTGGTACTGAAGGAAGAGAATGACATTCCGGGCAAGAAGATAGTGAAGCCAAGTCTTGGCAGCAGCTTCAGTCATAATAAAAAAATACTGACAGCAAGTGTTAATTGAAGACTTGCTAACTTAACTCATTAAAATAAAACTATGAGGCCACTTTTTGGGCCCCGTTTTACAGATGAGGGAACTGAGCCTTGGCGGTTTTATGTAGTTTGTCCAGGATCATACAGCTGAAAGTCAAACCTGTTTCTGCCTGAGTTAACAGCCTGAGCTTTTGGTCATGGCGTTATCTTGCTTCTCTGTGGTGGGTGGAACTGGACGTGTTTCTCCTCTTCTCTGTTGGAAGAAGAGTGCGGGCAGGTGAGCTCTCAGGATGCAATGGTTTGGGGCTCCTTGCCTTGTGCTGATGTCTGGCTCCTGACTTTTGCAGCTCCAGTCGGTGGACCAGTTGGTAAGTCTGCCTTTTCTTTTCTCTCTTATGTTTCTAGATCCTAATAACCATTGTGTGTCTCAAATACTGTAAGAAGAGGCCTTGTTGTCCCTGCATCCTTTTCCTGAGGACTGCAGGCACATGAAAACATCACTCTGCCTTGTAATTCTGACCTTAAGAGTTTGGGAGTTACACTCTCAGACGAAACCTGCCATTGTGCTGGATGAACTTGAGGGGCCTGGGATATATGTCATGGAGTTCAAGGAGAGGGGGTGCCCCCACCTGATGTGGGATTCTAGCCAACCTGACAGAATGCATAGAATCCTGAGATGGGAAGGAGAGAAATAAGCCAATGCCTCCATGGGGGAGGCCGGGGTACAAACAACTTGACTACTTCTCCATATCTCCTAGCTCCAGCTCAACAAAGCACTGCCCTATCCATGTGTAAGCAATTTATCCCAAACTTCAGCATAGGAGGTAGATATTTTTCTGTTAATAGCTCAAATCATGATGACTTTGAGCCCCCATCCTACTGGTCAGCAGAAAGTCCAGCTTTCTACTAGAAGCTGTCTCCAGGTATTTTGGCAATCCCTGTGGATTCCTTCAAGTCCATGGAGTCCATCCTGGGGGCTGCTTGCTGTCAGCTCCCACCAGCGGGAGCCACAGCCCCTTGGTGCACAGTGTCCCCTGCAGTTCCTGGATCTACGGTTCTCCCCTTCAGTGCTGTGGACACAGACCATTTCCCACAAACCCCTGCCTAACTGGGAAGAGATTGTAACTTGGCAACACTTTTCTAATGGTTCGAGGATGGAAAAATAAGATATAGAGAGTGTTTTACATCAGCTACTAGATGTGATTAACTTCAGAACCCACTAACTCCGTCCCAGCTTCAGGGAGGCCCAAACAAGATGTGTCTCCTCCTGGCCATAGGGCCACTGGCATGTAGCAGGGCCAGCTTACCTGCACCAGTGAGGAATCTGGCTGCTTACACCAAAGGAAGTCCCTTCCCTCCAGCACAGGACCTACTGCCAAGTCTCCATGCTCCCGAACCCAGGTGCTTCCCAGGAACAGAGACAGTGGGGATTTCTATTCCCTTCAGGAGAAACAACCCCGTACCCACTGTGGACACAGGATAGTCTGAACCAACCTCTAAAGAGAAAGAGAAAAAAAGTCTGCAGAAACATAAGAATAATTTACATTACCAAATAGAACTTTTAGCTTCTTCGTGTAAAACAAGCATTCAGGTTACTCGACAGTTTTTGCCTCTAAACAGAGGGAGAGTGTTTCCTTTACATTTGAGTATAACTAAAACACCTATTTGGGTAGTTTTTCCAGAAAAAGGTAAGAATATTCAAAGTCTCAAGCTTTAAAAAAGCAATTGTTTGTAAGCCCAAAATGTAGACATTGATCTCAGTATAAAGGTACTAAGGAAAAAAACACACTTAAAGTGATTCCACTTAAAATTTTACAGTAAATAGCGTACCCCCAAAATTGAGATTTTATTTTTGAAAAATAAAACAATACAACTAGAAATCATTTGTTTTATTTTCTACTTCACAGAATATAGGTTACCATAGGCAATTTGTAGAACAAAGCATGAACCTAATATTGATTTTTTTTTTTTTCTTTTTGCTATGTGGTCGCTGCCACAGCTTCAGGCATCATGACTGTTCAAGGCAGGAAGTGGGGGAGGGGGATGGGGAGAAGTGAAACTGTAAAAGAGCTTCCCAGTATGCTTCTCTCCTTCCACCATAAAGGAAAAACCTTCCCCCGGAATCCCTATCCCTTAGTCCACTCCTAGCCTTATTCCTCTGACATCTCTTTATCCAGAACATGTGTCTGGGAAAGTTAGTGCTTCAGTTTTTCAAACCCATTGGTGGGCAACAGGCTCGAGAGAAGGGCATTGGGACTGACTTTCAGAAGCCAAACAAGTATTTTCCCTAGTATTGGTTTCTCCTCTTCAATTGTTAACAGATCTTTTTTACTACTCTTGTCAGTGACTTTGTGAGCCATCAGAACTGTGGTCCCACATAACTTTTACCAACTTCATGAATTACTGCATCTTTGCAGAATCTGGAATACCACTTTGCAATAAATTTTCTTTGTATACCTGGTGAAAGATTAGCCTATCAAGGCACTGATCTTTCAGCAGGCTGGGTAGTAGCAATAAAGGGAAAGGATGCTTGAGTAGATGTTTCCTATCATGTGTAAATTGACTTGTAATTACTTTGTGTGGTAATTACTCAGGGAAGGAAAGTTTTTCCTCTATCCTCTTATGTTTTATAATGGGGGCCTGCAAATTAAACTGACAAAGACAGACTAGCCAGAGAAAAGATATTTTTATTCACTACTTGCAGGAGAACACAGAAAAGATGAGGCAAGGAGGCGGTTGGAATTTGGGGCTTATATGCCATCTGAATAGGGAAAGGGGAAAGGGAGAAGGGCACTTAGGGGAGAACAAATGACTTTTAGGAAAGACAGAAAGGCTATGAGAGAGCAGATGAGAGCTATGACAGTTTTGTGACAATATCTGTTCAGGTGTGCTGCACTTCCAGTCTCTCGTGATAAGAATCAGTCTTTCCTAGTTGCTCCTGGGGAGGCGATTTATGACAATTGAGTTCTTTCGTGATGCTTTTAGATAGATAAGGGTGTTCAGAATGAAAAAAAAAACATATATAAAATCTATTTTCAAACGCCATGAGCTCAAAATAATTTTCATGCCACAGTGGTATATTCCGGACGCCTTCAGTTACTAGCCCTCACAACTACAAACCTCAGAAAATAAGCACTGACATAGATATAGTCTTATATCTTATAGATAAGAAAGAGCCTCAGTAACAGTTTCTTGTTGGGGAAATATAATTCAAAACAAAATCTTCTCCCAATCCAGAAATCTTCTCCACAAAAGATTAAACAAAGTATACTTTTATTCTTAAATAAGCATTAAACCAGACTGTGATGTGCATCACAGATAATCCACTAAGATGTTGCAAAGACAGAGACAAATCTCGCATTCTTATATAGCCATTCAGATACGACCTGTTACATACATGTTTTCAAGACTAAACTAGCTCTCAATTAAGAGGTCTTGACACTGCACCTTTTGTCACACATAGTTCATCCTATCTTTATCATGATAATCAGGGAGACCACCGTGTTAGCTAATTGGCTGTCATCCAGAGGAGGAGTAAACCTTTCATATCTTTAGGACTGGAGATCGTTTTGCATATTGGAGCAAGATGCCCTCCAAACTTAGGCTCTTATCCTCCCACAGGAATTGGGAGACAGGGAGCTATCCTCCTAGATGTCTCCATTTTGAAAAGACAGATCCTCTTGAGAAAGACACTCCAGAGTTGTGAGACTAGCAAGGGGCTTATTGAGCCACTATAAAGATTTATATACATTTGAGAGAAATTCTGAAAGAAAAGGGAAAGACTGAGAAACCTTTTCCCTTATTTGCAACAAGGAGAATTAAACATCGAAGTTTTAATTTGTATTTACCTTTACATTCTCCAGCTTCTGTCCATCAGTGTTTCAAAGATCTTAAAGCCTGATTTCATGCAGGGCCCATATTTTACTGTCATGCAAGAGTATGTTCGAGGTTTAGGGGGATAGGAGCACCTAGCTCCTCCCACACTCATGCTCTTTGTAGCTATTCAAATATAATTCTCACTTTGGACAACAGCCTGCTCGCCTCTCCCTTACCTACTTCTTGTTGGTAAAAATACAGCTTAGACCCTTTTCTATAATTGCATAATTGACCCCAAAATTCCTACACTTCCTCCATCACATCTCCCACCCCACCACATGCCCATGCCACATAACTGCTCATCTTAGAGAAGTGTCTGTAACATCTCGAGCCCGGGCAGGAGGGAGTCCAGGAGGAGTCTACTTGAGGACCTGGTCCATCAGAAAAGGTAAGGGGGTTGTGGGCCTCCCATCACTGATCTTTCCTGGTGAGTCGGTCCTGCTGGGGTTGCCCTCTGAAAGGCCAATCTGCTTCTGTAGACCACGGAGCAGCCCCTGCACCGCTGGGTAAGGTGGGCACAGGTGGAGAACTTGCAACCTGTGGAAACAGTAGCCCTCCCAGGAGGCTTTTTAGGGATTCTCCAAAGCCAAGTCCACCTGTCTGTCCCACACAAACCACTGTGGTGGGGGCTACAGGCACCTCCATCTCAGACTCATTTCTCTTCTCCTCAGCAACTGCACCCAAACCCACGATTTCCCTCAATCCTCCATGGACCACCTTCTTCAGAGGACAGACGGTGAATCTGACTTGCAATGGATTTCACCTCAAGGCACCAGGGAAAATAAAATGGTACCGGCGGTACTCTGGAAGAGAAATACAAATCAAAACCCCAGGCAACACCCTTCAGGTCCATTTTTCTGGAGACTACAAATGCCAGGCCCAGGGCTCACTGCCAAGTGACCCTGTGCACTTGCTCTTTTCTTCAGGTGAGAAAGAAGGTGAATTAGTTAAAACTTTTAGAAATGATCTCGGTACATCTTAGCTCCCTGGAGTTTCCAAGAACTGAGGTCCTTCATTCCACCCTAACACTTGACCTCAGCTACCTTCAATTTCACATTCTACCTCATGGTCTATAAGTGTTTTCCTAGCTACTATTGCTATTAGAGTTTAAAATTAATTTAATCAACATACATTCTTACACATTTACATAGTTAAGGAAAGAAGTTGGTTGTAGGGGATTCAAAAATGAAACTGTCTTAGATCATGCCCTCAAGGACTTTATAGCCTCCTACAGGAGAAGTTACACATACGTGAATGTACTGAGCACAAAGCAGAAAGTGAAAAGTCCCATAAAACAAGAGTTCAGAGGTGGGAAACCTCCAGCCTCAGGCCTTGTGTCCCCACCTGTCCTAGTATCTGTCCCTTCTCTACTCCTACTTTTCTCTCTAACTGACACTCATTTCCCTTTCTGTCCAGTTTTGCCTGCTGTAGAGGTAATGGTTTGGATTGCTACACAGGCTCTGCTCTATAGGAGTAGGCATTCACTGCAGTCATCTAAGAGAGAAAGGATAGAACTAATGTCTAATTAGAATCTGAAGAGCAAGAGAATGTCCATAGTGGACCACATTCACTGTCCCTCGACCCTGGATTTGTGGCTGTGATAATAAGCCTGCTACATAGCAGATTCTGATGCACTGTGATGCTTCCCAGGATATTTCTCCAAAAGCAACCTCTTGGATGACTCCTGCTCTGAGTTTTGATGAGCAAGTTGGTGTTGATCTTTGCCGTATTCAATGACGTCAGGGATTTTGATCACACCTCCTCTCAGCTTTTTCTCTCCATATTAGAATCCTTATATTTTTAATTGGTCCTTGAATGATTAAATAAATGTGCTTGGGATTTATTTAGGAAGTGTATCTGAAGCATGTCACTGATTTGGAAGGAAAGAGGTGAGCTTGGGTCAGGAGACTAAATCCTGTGGAAGAAATAAAGAAGAAAACAACAAAGCCTTTGTAACTCAAGATACACAAAGGAAAGAGGAGTGCCCTGAATGACATATCTTGTCTCTGTGTGGTTTCCAGACCTCCTCATCCTTCAGGCCCCACATTCTGTGTTTGAAGGTGACGCGTTGGTTCTGAGATGCCGGAGAAAGGGGAAAGAGAAACTGATTGCTGTGAAATACACTTACAAAGGAAAAGTTATCTCTCATTCTAATAAAACCTTGGATCTTTTGATACCACAAGCAAGTTCAAATAACAGTGGCTATTACCAATGCATTGGATCTATGGACAAAAATTATATACTTAGATCAAGTTACAAACTTATTAAAATTCAAGGTAAACCCTTCATTTCATATAGATTTGCTTAGTAATGTCAGTGTGGGGAAATTGGGTATGACAGGAGGGGATTTGTGTGTTGATAAAAAAACTCTGGATAAATGAGAAGGCTAAGTCCTCCAGGAGGCAGAGACAGTGGAGTAATTGGACTTAAATAAAATGTGATAGAAGAGTCAATAAGTTTATCTTGCTATGTGTCTGAAGTTTCGTAGGACTGAGAATCCAAGCCTGCCTCTCCCAGGGTTCTAAATACCCTCCTGCTGAGAACTTGATTCTCCTCTTCTCTCTAGAACTATTTCCACGTCCAAAGCTGCAAGTCACAGCCCCCCAGCCAACAGAGGGAAATTCTGTGAACTTGAGCTGTGAAACACAGCTTCCTCTAGAGCGGTCCGACACTCGGCTTCACTACGTCTTCTTCAGAGATAACGGGGTCGTCCTGTCAGACTGGAGCACATCCCCAGAACTCCAGATCACAACCATCTGGAAAGAAGACTCAGGATCATACTGGTGTGGTACTGAAACGGTGACCCGCAGCGTCCGCAAACAAAGCCTCCCGCTACAGATCCGAGTGCAGAGTGAGTGTTGGAGAGCCAGGTGGGCTGGCTGGGGCTGTGGCATTTTCCCTGACTGCTCCTTCTTGCCCTATGGGGGTAGGGACTACCCAATACAGATGGATTTCTCATCCTGATGGAGGCACCTGGCTTAGACTAAGAAGTGAAGTGCTATAATAAAAGAAATATAGGATTTCATTTCCACTTCCATTTCTGTAAAAACTCAGTCTTCCTTTGAAACTCTATCACCTCGAAATGATGGAGATGATCCATGGAGTTAGATACAAGAGTTGGGGAAAATAAAACAAAAACAAGAAAACAAGGTGTCCTGCTACTGAGTTGACAGATTTTAGAATGTCAGATCTTGGGGAAAACTATTTAGGAGATAAGCATCTACCTCTTCCTAATCAGTAGCAACAAGTAGTAACGTGAGTGCCTGTGATGTGTAAAGCAGAAGAGAAGGACATACATGCATACACACAAAGATAAATACGATGAGTATCAACTTGTCTTAAGTACCAAAGCAGGACTTCTGGAAATGGGTGTGGTCCAGCCCAGTGCCGTGATGGCCACTACTGCTGTTACCTATGCCTCAAAACAATCCAGACCTCCAGCTAGGACATCAAACAAAACCCAAATGCTTCTCCAGAGTTAGCCAATTTTTTTCTCCTGGAGCCTTGTGTGTTAGGATGGAGAACTTAAATTTAGTGATGTTCTAGGTCCAAAATCCACAGTCTGTGAGCTACAATGCTAACAACTGCTAAAGAGTATATCTTAAAGTCACATAAAAAGTGACCCTGTCCAACATCCCAGCCCTGCCCTCCCCACACCAGGCCCTCACGTGTCATCTTGTTTGCACACAGGAATCCCTGTGTCTGGAGTGCTTTTGGAGACCCAGCCCCAGGAGGGGCAGGTGGTTGAAGGGGAGACGCTGGTCCTTGTCTGCTCCGTGGCTGAAGGCACAGGGGACACCATGTTCTCCTGGCACAGAGAAGACACAAAGCAGAGTCTGGGGAGGAAAAGTCAGCGTTCTCAGAAGGCAAAGCTGGAGATATCTGTTATCAGGGAGAGCCATGCCGGGGAATACTACTGTACAGCTGACAATGGCTATGGCCTCATCCAGAGTGAGGTAGTGAACATCACTGTGAGAAGTAAGTTTTAACCTCCATTTACCTTATTTATTCTCAACTTTCTCAAATTAGGGGTGGGCATTGCCAACCCTATCTTTGTGATTCTTCTTTTTGTATTTTGCCGTCTTCTATTGCCACAGACAATTTCTTCCATTAGAATATTAATAATCCAGGTTATGATGAGGTCCTACAACGAGGTAATGTTGGTCAGGAGCCATTGTGCACCTTGGAGATGATTTTGTGCCTGTACTCTGATCCATTGTGTGTTGATCTCAAAGAGCAGCCTTAACTCATTAACGGTGTTTTAGGGTAGAGTACAGTTCTATCATCCTAAGTGTCAACTATACTCTCCTTTCAGTAAATCATCCACAGCACATCAAACCAGTCTCCTCAAGTATGATAGAACCAAAGTCACAGGGCATTCCTTTACTCCATTACTGTAGGCCTGAGAGAATCTCAGTACCCAAATTGTATGCAGGTCAGGAAACCCACAAGAGAGCAGATACAGAGCAAGTTATATCCACTGAGGAGATAAGCCTTCCTTTGGGATCCCACAGTTCAAGCTTATGTCTTTCTCTTCCTCTGTCCCCAAGGGACACAGGGCAAGTCAGGTTCCCATTCAGCTTCCTTGGCACTAAGGAAATGGTTTCTACTAACTGAAATTCCTCATCTATCTCAGATTGCATCCTTGGCTAACCTATAAAGCTAGCTTTTATTGAGGAGCTACTAGAAAGCTAGATTTCCTTGCCTTTTTTTTTTTTTTTACAGTAAAATTCCTCAAAAGAGTTAGCTCTTCTCATTCTCTTTACTTCTCCTTTCTCTCAAACCCATCACGATCAGGCTTGCTTCATTCCACCAAAATAACTCTTGTGAAGATCACTTGTGACCTCCATGTTGCTCAAATCAATGGGCAACTCTCAGTTTCTGTTTTACTTGACCTATCACCAGCTTTTGACACAATTGATACTTCCCTCCTTGAAACATTTTCCTCCTTGACTTCTCAGACACAATTCTCTCTCAGTTCTCTACATATTCATCAGACACTCCTTTGAGGTTTTATTTACTGGATCCTCATCATATTTTCAACCTTTAAATTTTGGGGACTCCCAGGGCTCTGTCCTCAGACTTCTCTCTATCTGTGCCCACTCTTTAGATCATCTTACACAGTATTTAAATGTACTTATGATTTCTATATGCTTATGATTCCCAAACTCAATCTATAGCCTAGACCTCTAGTCTGAACTCAAAACCCATATATCCAAGTACCTAAATCAACTACTCTGCAGGAATGGCTAATTGGGTAACTCAAACTTAATTCATCGAAAACCAAACTGTTGATTTTCACCCAAAATCTACTCCTGCTTGGAGCCTCCCCTTGGTAAATGTTAAACTCCATTCTCCTAGTTACTCAGGCCAAAAAATTGAGCATCATTCTAGACTCTTCTTTTTATTTCATCCTCCATATCTAATCTACTTGCAAGTGCTAATGGCTCTACTTTCAAAATATAGCCAGAATCTGACTAATTTCCACCACCTCCACTGCCACCACCTGATCCAAACTGCAAGCATTCCCTGCCTGAATTATTGCAATAACACCCTAACTGATCTTCTGCTTCACTCATTGCTCCCCACAATCTATTCTCAACACAGCATCAGAAGCAACTCTCTAAATCATAAGTCAGATCCTGTTACTCTTCTGCTCAATACCTTCCCCTGGTTTCCTATCTCCTTGAGAGTGAGAGCCAACATCTTCTCAGTGGCCCACCAGGTCCTGATGATCTGACCTCCTACTACTCTGACCTATCTCCTCCACTCTTCCCTCACCTTTGCCACTCTAGCCACCATGGCCTCCTTTCTCTTCCTCAAACATTCCAGTCGCACTCCCACCTTGGGGCCTTTGCACTGCTCTTCTCTGATGTCCTCATGCTCACCATCTCACTTCCTCCAGAACTTTACTCACCTTTTCACTGAGACCTTCCCCAACCACCCTATATAACATAGCAGCTCTTCACCAAGGTGCTCCCTCTCCAGGTCCTGCTTGATTCTTCCTCACAGCACGTACCACCAATCGCCATGCCACATAGTCTTTGTTTGCTGTTTGTTCCCAGCCCTCCCATATGAGCCTCAGGAAGATAGGGCTTTATTTTGACTACTATTGTATCCCAAGTGCTTGGACTAGTGCTTAGCTCATATTATATATTCAATAAATATTTGTTGAATGAATGAATTTTATATACATCGTTTTTGTTGATCATATTAACAATCCTAGAAGATAAAGATATTATCTCTATTTTGCAGAAAAAGAATGTGAAGCTCAGAAAGGTTTGGTAATTTGCTTAAAGTCACAAAGTTTATAGCTAGCAGCCCAGATTTGAACCTCAATGCAATCATTTAGCTCAGAGAGACAGAGAGTATTGTCAAAGTTCTCCAAAGAAGTACCACGTAATCAAGTACTCATCATCAACCACACTAAATAAGCAGAGAACTGTGCTGTTTATGTCAGTGGTCAGCCCTGACAGAGCTGTGAACCTAAACAGTGTGGTTAGCGGCTCTGGGAAGGGCCTGCTATGCTAATGGCCCAGCTGCTGTGCAATTTTCCCTTCAACTCCCTGGAGGCAAGTCTTATAATCAAGCAGGGTCCTCGCAGGCCAGGGGACTGACATATCTTTCCACAAACGATGCCACAGGAGGGTCTGTATGTCACTCTTGAAATTTCTTAGTGAGCAGCAACATTGGGTGTGATTCCCAGCAGAGAAGGGTAGAGATTGAGCAGGGTGTTATCTTAATGGCATTCCAAGAATCAGCTGGGGAGGGGAAGAAGATAGCAGAGCTGAAAACGGCCAAAGGGCGCCCCCTGAAGACTTTTGAATGCCCTAAAATCCAGAGTGACACTGAAGGGAGGAGTGCTGCTTCTCCAGGAAGGCTCTTATACTGAGAAGTTTACTTTGGGGAGCCCCAAGTTTGCAATCCCTGAAGAGGGTAATGGTGAATTTGTTGGTCATTCACATCCAAGTGTGAAATTACTCATCTTCCTTTTGGAGGTTAAGGTCATCAAAATGAATTAGCCTCTTTTGATTCAGTCAGTGAACTGGTCACCTCATACATGTAATTTCACTTTACTCTCACAACTACCTTGCAAGGCAGATGTCATTGTCTGTTAAGGAAACAGATGATCTCAGGGATTAAGCAGATGTCAAGGATTCAGTTGATATATGACGAAGCAGAAATTTCTCCCTAAATCTTTTTTATTCATGGACTGTATGCAAAATCTCTGTGCTTAGAAGTGACAGAATTTCTAGCAGGAGAGAAACTCTGAATTAGCCTGGAGTACTAGGCTAATGTGGGCTCTCTTAGCTCATGCTGCTGTAAGAAAATACCATCCACATGGTGGCTTTAACAACAGAAATTTATTTCTCACAGTTCTAGAGGCTAGAAGTCTGAGATCAGGGTGCTGGCAAGGTCAGGCTCTGGTGAGAGCTCTCTTCCTGGCTTGCAGACAGCTGTCTTCTGGCTATGTCCTCACATGGCAGAGAAGGGGAAGAGAGAGAGAGATCTCTGGTCTCTCTTCTGCTAAAGACACTAAGTCCATCATGAGGACGCACTCTCATGACCTCATCTAAACCTGATTACCTCCCAAAGGCCCCATCTCCAAAACTCACACTGGGAGTTAGGGCTGCTTCCATGTATGAATTTTGCAGGGAAGCAGTTCAGTCCATAGACTGGGCTGAAGTTGGCTGGGGTGGTGCTGTGTGGGAGCAGACCTAACTTGTGGGCAGGTCCCCTAAGCTGATCAGAGGGCAGCATGAGGTTCCTGAGGGCCTAGGGCATAGTATGAGGGCAACCAAATAAGAGTTAATACTTACATAGACATAGCACTTGTCACGTGTCAGGAACTGTTCAAAGCACTTTACATATATTAACTCATTTAATCCATCAAAAACAGCGCTACTATAGTTACTTATTCCCATTTTACGGATAAGAAAGCTGAGGCATGGGGGGCTTAAATAATTTTCCCTGGCCACACAACTAGTAAGTGGAGGAGCCAGGATTCTAACCCAATGGTCTAATTCTAGACTCCACGTCATTCATTTTTTTTTCCCACCTTTATTGAGATATAATTGACATACAACATTGTGTTACTTTAGCGTGTACAATGTGATGATTTGCTATATGTATATATTGTGAAACGATTACCACAATAGAGTTAGTTAACGTATCCATCACCTCATAGTTACAATTTTGTGTGTGTGTGTGTGTGGTAAGAACTTTTAAAATCTATCTTAGCAACTTTCAAATATATGATACAATATTCTTAACTATAATCACCATGCGTACATTAAACTCCAGAATTTATTCATCTTATAACTGGAAGTTTGTACCCTTTGACCACCTTTATACATTTCCCCCCTCCTCCAACCCCTGCCCTGGCAACCACAAATTTGTTCTCTATGAGTTTGCTTTTTTTTAGATTCCACGTATAAGTGAGACCATACGGTATTTGGCTTTCTCTGTCTGACTTATTTCACTTAGCATAAAGCTCTCAAGGTCCATCCATGTTGTCGCAAATAGCAGGTTTTCCTTCTTTTTAATGGCTGAATAATATTCCATTCTACACGTGTGTGTGTGTGTACATATATATACGTGTGTGTGTATATATATATATGTATATCACATTTTCTTTATCCATTCATCCACGGATGGACACTTAGGGTGTCCACGTCTAGTTATTTTAAATAATGCTTCAGTGAATGTGAGGATGCAGATGTCTCTTTGAGTTAGTAATTTCATTTCCTTAGGATATGTACCAGGAAGAGAGATTGCCGGATCACATAATAGTTCTATTTTAATTTTTTGAGGAACCTCTATACTGTTTTCACTAGTGGCTGCACCAATTTACATTCTCACCAACAGTACACAAGGTTCCCTTTTCTCCACATCCTCACCAACACTTGTTATCTCTTGTTTTCTTGGTAACAGATGTTCTAACAGATCTGAGGTGATATCTCACTGTGGTTTTGATCTGCATTTCCCTGATGATTAGTGGTGTTGAGCACATCTTCATGTAGCTATTGGCCATTCATATGTCTTCTTTTGAAAAAAGTCTTTTCAGGTCCTTCACCCATTTTTAAATTGGGTTATTCGGGTTTTTTTTTTTTTTTTTTTTTGCTACTGAGTTGTATGAGTTCCTATTCTAATTCTGATATCTAATAATTCTAATATTATTAGATATTAACCCTTTATCAGATATATGATTTGCAGGTATTTTTCTCCCATTCTGTAGGTTACCTTTTCATTTTGTTGATGGTTTCCTTTGCTGTGCAGAAGGCTTTTAGTTTGATATAGTCCCATTTGTTGATTTTCACTTTTGTTGTTTGTGCTTATGGTGTCATATCAAAAAAGTCATTGCTGAGACCAGTGTCAAAGAGATATTTCCCTTATACTTCCTGCTAGGAGTTTTATGGTTTCAGGTCTTACATTTAATATATTTTGAGTTAATTTTTGTGGAAGTCCAGTTTTATTCTTTTGCATGTGAATATCTGGTTTTCCCAGCTACTCCCTTTCTATTAAGAGACTATGTTTTCTCCACTGAGTATTCTCTGCTCCCTTGTCAAATATATGCATGGGTTTATTTCTGGGCTCTCGATTCTGTTCCAATTGTCTATGTATCTGTTTTTATGCCAATATCAATTTGTGTTGATTATTCTAGCTTTGTAGTATATGTCAGTGGAAAGAGCTGGCTGCCTTTCTCCCCTTTGCCGCAATCCACTCAGACTCTTAACTCTTGCCCTCTACCACTTCATAGTGAGTCACTTCCTGTCACATACAGGCTCAGGGCTGAGCTCCCCACAAGCGGAAGGCTGCATCCTGTGCCACACCAGCCCCGGCCTAGCCCTGAGGGGCCTCATAAGTCTTAGCCCATTAGATTCCTCCCTGTCCCAGGGCTCAGGACCCCAGGGAAGCTGAGGAAAAGTTTCAGGGCATCAAGGCAATTCTAGGCCCTAGATCTCTCCCTCTGTGTCTCATACAGGCTCTTCCCCCTCAGGTGCTCTGGGTTATAGAACTGGCCTTATTGCTGCGGGAGCCACTGGGGTGTCGCTCAGCATTCTTCTCCTGGCTGTGGCCCTGATGTTTTACTGCTGGCACCAGAGGAAATCAGGTTTGTGGTGTCTCTTACCCTTTGCTAGAGTCCCTGCCTTAGACACCTCAGCTATTGCAGCCTCAGTAACCACCAAGCCACCATTCTCTACCTCACTACCCCAACACTCACAGACATACTCACACCCTTTCCTTAAAGGGCACTTTTCTTAATAGATGCTGTGGGTGAGGACTGCTCGTTTCTAGTTTGGTTTACTAAGCCCCAAGTGAAAGGCAGGAAAGAAGTAAAATTTTTAACGTAAAGTTTCAAAAAAGTTTTAACAGTTTCCTTGGGCAGTTTCTTTGGTTCATACAGGCTGGTCAACTAGATACTTCTGCCTATCCTAAATCCCCCGTAAATGGACCATCAAAATAAACCAAAAGGCTCTGTGAAGAAATGACTGGGAATGGGAGCTGGTTAATCTCTCTTCCTCTTCCTCCTCAGAGACTTCTTCGAGTCCAAGCCGGAACCCACTATCTTGTGTTTCAATGGCCCAGCTCTCCACAGGTCAGCCTGCCAGCTCCTCCCCTACCTGGGGGAGAGGGTTTCTCCCTGGTACCACCTGCCACATGCTTCCAAAGTCTTGTTGCCTTAGCCTAGGTCAAGCTAGTTTCAGATGCCAGAAAACTTGGTGTGGAAGACAGGCACAGAAATTTTTTTGGTTCTAGAACAATCACTCACATCCTTCAATTCTGTCTCTTAATTTAATTCAATTCAACTCACCAGACCCTTCTGAGCACCTTCTGTGGGCCTTGCACTGGGCTGAATGTAGGGAGCTTAAGACCTCTGACCACAAATCTCCTTAGCAAGCCCAAGTCGGAGCCCGAGGTTCCTCTGGGCATGACCACAGATGCTCCTCAAAGTCCACCTACAGCCCCTCACTACTCTACAAGAGACAATTTGGTTATTTTCAATATTTCCTGAGGTGTATCAACACAGACTTAAATCTTAATCAAGTCTCAAATAATTGCATATTTAACCCAGGAATGTGTAGCCCTGTTCCCAGCAAGTTATATGTTTTGTTCCATTTTTTTTCACATCATTTTCAGGAGAATTTGGGACCGGGTCCATGTTTGAATTTTCTGGTGACCTCTCTTAGGCAGCTCCTGTGTGTGAAGTAGTATTTGAGAAAGAGCTCCCTCTGCTGACATAAATGTGGCTTTGCTTATTTTGCAGGAGGTGGTTTTCTGAGAGACACAACCAGGTGAGGCCTCAGCTTTCTGGTTTCCCAAGAATAAAATACGCAGAACTGTGGGGTTGCAAAATTAGGTCAAGTGATTTCTCTGTGTTTCTAAGGCTGGGTGCTCCCGTTTTCACATTCATTGAAACAGCCAAAATCACAGCTTGCATAAACCTTCTAGTAGTTTGTATTATAGATTTTGGATGTATTTAGATCAGTTTCTTATCTGAAATTTATCCATTTATCTAAAATGATGATATCAAAGGTTATAGATTTTCTAGTTTATTTATTTCTGGTGCAAATAGTCCTATAATTAAACAATGTATTACTATAACTATGTGTAAAATGACTATCTGTTCTAGATTTTCCAGGGAAGTCACATTTTCTAATAATCTTCTTTTTGCTCCACATGTGCACATATATTTGTCAGATTTTGTGTCTTTAACTTTGGTTTGGAAAGTACGGTCCTCTGCTTCTGTCTGTATCAGTGTCTCAGTCTTAGGTTGTAGCCAGGGACTTGGAGCATGGACTATGTCTAATTCCTTCTTGAATTGTCCAGACAGGATGATGTGAAGACACTACCTCCTGCTGATGAGGTCAGGTTTTTTAACCAATTGTGAGTGGCCATTTTATCTATGAGATGACTGTTACTGTGATGTCAGAGGCTCTCTGGCTTTTTTCCCAGGCAAACTGCCCATACCACAGCCCCAGGGTTTCTTTTAAAATACAACCTGACTCTATATAGACCTATTGAAGGTGTGAAATTATTCAGGGCTCCCAGTCCCCTGGTGTCTGCTGACTTCCCTCCATTCCCCTGTCTCTATGGCTATTCCAATCTTGTGCATATTATAATGTTCCAGGGATGATCATGTGTTTCTGTGTCTCACAGGAGTCCTCCCACCCCAGGCTCAAGAGGGCCCTTCCATCCCACATGCCCTGCCCCAGTGGAGCTGCAGCCATTGTATGGCACTGGTAAGGATTCCCCAGTAGGAAGCTGCTCCTGGCCTGAGCCGGGGAAAGATAATGTGCTTTGAGGACTGGCAAAGCCCCCTGGTCTCCATAAGGTGTCCCAAACCCAGACATTCCCAATAAACAGTTGCTTCATCATATGTCCAAGAAGAGTGGAGAGGATGCTTAGGAAAAACATCTGCAGCACGTACCACTGCCTGAGACAGCCTAGAAAGTGTTGTTTTTTATTTCCAGCGCACACCAAGGAGGGAGACTTGGTATATTCTGAGATCCAGTTTATTCAGCTGGGAGAAGAAAGGGAAGGTAAGTCACTGGGGAGAGATTTTGGCTGCAAACTACATTCATTCAAGACATTTTTATTGAGCACTTCCTATGTGCTGGGTACTGTTGTAAGCACAGGGAGTCAATTAGTGAATAAGGCAGATAAAAATCCCTACAGTGTGGTGCTTAGACTCTGAAGAGAGAAGATAGACACTAAAAAATACATAACGTATTTTTTCTGAAGATCAAAACAAAATTAAACATCCTTCTGATAGACATTGTGATCATGAAGGTGTGTGTATGAGGGTTGCCCTTAAGTAATGAATGAATGTTTACAAAGCACCTACTATGTGGTGAGAACATTTATATATATAAATGTACATATATATGTAGCACACACACACACACATATATATATACACACACATGTATATGTTTGGTTAATCCATATAACAACCCTGTGTAACCAATATACCGAACAAGCAAGGTTTATGATTTAATTACAAAAATTTTCCGTCTCCTAGTGTCTTTTTAAACTTTATTTTGTGGGACATCTTCCCAGGCACTCAGGATGAAAATTCTGGCAGCCAAAGGCTTTTCAACACATTCTCTATTCAGTTAGGTGACAGACAATGGTGGACACTTTATGTCACAGTCTCAATTTAGTAGCTAGGATACCTAGTTCAAGATGTTAATCAAAACTTCCCCTCCCTTAGTTCAGGCAAATTTCAGAATGGATGTTGATGGATGGTAGGGATGAGAAGGTGGACAGGACAGAGTTGGCTTCTCTGTTTCTTTGGTTGGCCTCCCCTAACTAGCCTGGAGGGTGCTGGGGGAAGGACTTACTCCAATTAGTATCTTGGAAGCTGGTTTCCACTTCTCTGGGCTGGCAGATGCTTATGTGGGCACTCTCCCTTGTGAAGTGCAGGCGTGGTCTCTTCTGAGGTGTCCTGCTGGATCCCTCCTTCCTGAAGTTTCTTTGACACAGCTGATGCACTTCTAATTCCAGAGTTGTTTGCAGCTCCTTCACTGGCCTCACTCCCAGTTGATCGCATCCAGATTTCTGCTGCTGGAGTCCCTTGGTAGCTGTAAACCCCATTGGACAGGACCCAAAATGACCACACTGCTGCTTGTTCTCTCTCCCACGTGGACCACATCTGTCCTTGGGAACACTTGGACATTTCAGGTCTGCGCTAATCCAGCAACATTCTTCTGATCCAATAACGAGCTGTGTGTCAGAACTCTCAACCCTGTAGATTGGTGGCTTTCAAATATTTTATTGTAACCCACCATAAGAAATGCAAATTGTATTGTTAGCCAGGGTGAATGTGCACACGCACACACACACAAATACTGACACATAACTGAAACAAAAGCTGTATGAGACAATACTTAGTGTGATACACTCTATTTTCTATTCTACTCAAATGTATTGTTTTAATCAGCTTTTTGAGGTATAATATACATATAATCCACTAATTTTAAATGTACAGTTCAATTAATTTTAACAAATATATACAATCACAGAACAACCACCACAATCATGGTGTAGAACATTTTCAACACTTCGAAAATCCCTTCATGCCCCTTTGCAGTTAATCTCCTCCCAGCCCCACTCCTGGCAACCAATGATCTGCTTTCTGTCCCTATAGTTTTGCTTTTCTATAACTTCATATAAATGGAATCATATATAATATACTGTTTTTATCTGGCTTCTTTCACAACATAATGTTTTGCAATTCATCCATATTCTAGCATATTATAGGGAGTTCACTACTCTTTTTTTTTTTTGATATGTAAAATATTGTACATATTTAATGTATACAACTCATGAGTTTGGGGATAAGTACATACCAGTGAAACAATCACCACCATCCAGGCCACAGACATATGCATCATCTCCCAAAGTTTCCTTCCACCCTCTATATTATTATTATTATTGTTGTTGTTGTTGGTATTATGTGTGGTAAGAACACTTAAGATCTACTTTCTTAGCAAGTTTTAAGTATACAATAGAGTATTGTCAGCTACAGGCACTATGCTGATAATAGATCTCCAGAATTTATTCATCCTGCATAACTAAAACTTTGTACCCTTTGACAATTACCTTCAGTCTCCCCTCCTCCCAGCCCCTGGAAATCACCATTCTACTCTCTGCTTCTATGAGTTTGACTATTTTAGATTCCACATGTAAGTGAGAACATACAGTATTTATCTTTCTGTGTCTGACTCATTTTACTTAGCATAATGTCCTCCAGGTCCATCCATGTTGTCACAAATGGTAGGAATTCCCTCTTTTTTAAGGCTGAATAATATTCCATTGTATATGTATATCACATTTTCTTTATCTGTTAATCCATCAGTGGACATTTAAGTTGTTTCCATATCTTGGTGATTGTGAATACTGCTGTGATGAACATGGGAGTACAGGTATCTCTTCAAGATCCTGATTTCAATTACTTTGGATAAATACTCAGAAGTGGGATTGCTGGATCATATGATAGTTTTATATTTAATTTTTTAAGGAACCGCCATACAGTTTTTCATAATGGCTGTACCAATTTACATTCCCACCAACAGTGTACAAGTGTTCCCTTTTCTCTACATCTTCCCCAACACTTTTGTTTTTTTGATAATAGTCATCCTAACAGGTGTGAGGTGATATCTCATTGTGGTTTTGATTTTTATTTCCCTGATTATTAATGATGTTGAGCACCTTTTCAATACCTGTTGGCCATGTGTATGTCCTCTTTGGAGAAATGTCTGTTCAGGTTCTTTGCCCATTTTTTGATTGGGTTATTATTATTATTATTTTGACTATTGAGTTGTGTGAGTTCCTTATAGATTTTGGATGTGAATCCCTTATCAAATATATGGTTTGCAAATATTTTCTCCCATTACAAATATTTCCATTTCTACGTATGGCACCTCACTTGGGAGTTTAAAAATACCCAGTATCTTTGTACCTAGTAGAAATTTCAATTGTAACCTGATCCTAAACTTATTTTGCAAATGAGATTAAGGACTTTGACCAGGTCACAAAACCAGTAAAAGACCAAGTCTTCTGTTTTGCTGTTATATCTGCTGTTTATAGTGCCTATTACTATATTTGGCCAACATATATCATCTGATCACCTGCTTTGTCTGTCACTTTGATTCTCAGCCATCTCCACTAATCAGGACCTTTTGAATGGTGGAATTAGAACTGCCAACAATTTGCTTGGGTTAATTGGGTGCAACTTATAGTGTTACCCTGATCATTTGCTGTTCTTCACACTCTGTATTTGACATATTTGTCAAAATATTATTATAGCTGAGCATTCTGTTGGTGGACTAGTTATATTTTAGGCACTTTGTGTATTGATGATCTGTAGTAAGATTTCTTCACCAGTGCTTCAAGGTTTGCATGAAGCCCCTGAGGTTGTATGCAAAGTTCCGTGCATATGACTATTTTTCTGGGAAGAGAGTATATAGGTTCTATCATACCATTAAAAAGATCTATAACCCCAAAAGGTCTATGGTAGGATTATGGTAAAAAAAAGAAACCTCAAGTGTCCCAGGATGTATCTTTTTTTCAGGCTCTATCTCTCCACAAAATTACTATGTGTTTCTGATGATTTTATCTTTTTCTCTGAGACTCTTAATTTCTAACATAGTATCTGACAAATCATGCCTGCTAAACATTTTTCTCACTGTGGCTCCATCTCTAAGAAATTGTGGCAATAAAATCAAGAACTAGAATATGCTAATGTAATGTGAGAAAAACAGGGTATACATATGAAGAGCTGTCATTGGAACTTGCTGAGCAATCAGGGGTGAACTTTGAGGTTTGGGGTGAGATGGAGGTGCTATAAGTTAAGAGAGGAAAGAACTAAAACTAAGAGACAAATTGTCTCACATCTGGTAAAGGAAGGGAGTGAGATTTCTTGGCATGGTATTGAGGGAAGACTTTACAGATCAATGGAGCTTGAAAAGAACTTTGCGAGAGCTGGATTAAGAAGTGATAAAACAGAAAATCACAAGCCTTGTAGGGCATGTTGGGGGTCAGGGTTAGGAAAACCTGACAGTCAATGGAAAGGGCTCAATGGCTCCCAGCCTCTGGGCAATAAGCTAGAAGACTGAGTTCTCAGTGTATCCAGGTGCCTGTAATTCAGTGGTTCCCTTTCTCTCCACAGCCAAGACCTCCAGAACATCTTTAGAGGACAAGGTGAGTTTCATCTCCTGTCTATTTTCTCTCCCTCTACTACCTATAGCCCCATACTCCCTTTCTCTTCACAGTTCTTCTTCTATCTTCTTTCCATCCCAGCATGCCTCCGTTGTCTACTCGGAGGTGAAGACACGGCACAGGTGATTCAACTGGAAAGGTCCGCTCTAATGATGAAGATGCCGTGGAAAGTTGCAACAACGTCCTACTCATGTGGCTTGTCCCTAATCCAAAGCCTGTAGCTCAGTGCAGCCCTCAAGGTCTCTGGAGTTACCAGCTGGTTCCAACTTCCCAGTTCTTCTTGCCCATGTGCACTGACTCCTGATTCATCTACTCTGAAGTGTTGATGGGATAGCTCCTGAAAGACTTCTCTAAAATAACCAGGATCCATAGTTAGCTATGGAAGACCCTGTGTACCTGCTCTGAGCCTAGCCTAATGTGTTCCCAAGGGTCTGATTTAGGGAAAAGGAATAAGGAGGGAGAAGGACTGATGTTGAAAAACAGAAGTGTCAACTTTGGTGAATTGGGATTTGCACATAGAATAGAGTGAGTGACTCAGGTCTCTGTTTAATACATCTACAATAATTCTTCCACTGGGGAATCACCTGCATCAATTGGTTTCACTATGAGTGGCTGCACAGGTACTTTGCAGACCGTGCATAGCCCCTTCCCTCCTGCTTACACTGTTTATACTGTCAGGATTCAGTTGTAGATGCAAGAACCCACTCCAAATGGTTTACAGAGAAAGAAATTTAAAAGAGGATATTATATACTTTGCAAAATCGTCAGAAGAGTTGGAGAGGCAGGCTGTAGGCTGAGCTTCCAAAAGCAAAAACTAATTATGTTAATATTATTAGAGACAAAGATTTTTAACATTAGAGAAAAGAAACACAAATATAAAATTAAGAAGTTAAGTAACAACCCTCCAAACCCAAATTTGAATTGGAAGTATCTGTTTAAACTGATGACAAACTCTGCCTTTTTAAAAAAGATATTTATTTCCTAGGTCTGTCCACTGAAAAGACTCAGAAATAATTACCAACCCAGTAACACTGAACATCAATTGCACATGTTGTAGTCTCTAAATACTGTTTCCTACTCAAAGGATATAGAGCCACCTTTCTTGTAGGAACTGTATCTTTGAGTTACCAAATAGTTGATGTGAGAATAATTCTTCCAGTAAATAAAGAAGGAATGAAAGAAATAGAAAACCACTATTTTGTGTGGATATTTCATGCTACACCTACTGGTTAAGTTAACATCAAAAAACAGACAGCCTAACATTACGTACCTCTTGGTGGAAGTATTCAATACCACCTACAAAGTATTCGTGCCCAAGATATCAAAACTGAATCCAATCAAATCTCTAGATCTAACTACCAAATTACAGGAAACACACGGGACAAAGGAATATGTTAAATACACCATGGGACTGCAGTCAGCAAAATTCAAACTGTGGAAAAATTCTACAGGACAAATGACCTGGTTTCTTCAACAAATAAATGACAAAAAAAGGAAGAGAAAAAAATGAAAGAGAGAGCGAAGACCGATAAATTAAATGAGACTTGAGACGGACATATCAAGCAAAAGGAATGAGTGGGCCTTGTCTGAATCCTGACTCAAACAAATCAAGCAATCACTTATGAAATACAAAGGGAAAATTGTACGCTAGTATTAAGAAATTATTGTGTGTTTTGGATATGTGATAGTTTTGTGGTTAAGTTTTTACCAAAAAAGGAATTTACATATTTTAGAATTCATACTGAAGTATTTGTAGATTAAATGATATGATTTTGCTTGAAATAACCCAATAAAGGGAGGTGGTAGGAAGTAGATGGGGGTAAGATGAAACAGGATGGGTCCTGTGTGCACATTTCTGAAGCTGGGCGGTGGGTACATTGCAGGATTCTGAAGGAGAGCTTATACTAGTCTCTGCTTTTGTATGTTTTTAATTTTTCACAATAAAACGTTAAAATAGCTATAACTGGAATACCACCTCATTTCATCACCTCCAGTGCTTCCACCCTTGTCCGAGGCACCTCTCACTTTTATTTACAGTAATGGATTCATGTCTTCCTTCTTTGTCTCTTTCCTCCCTACAGCCCATTCTCAGCACTGGGGCCACTGTGCTCAAAACCTTGCAATGAATTCTCATCTCCCTTACAGTAAGAGCCAGAGTCTTTAAGTGCCCGCAATGCTCCACCTGATCTTTCCTCCTATCGCCTTTCTGGACGCATCTCCTACTACTTTTCCCCTCGTGGCTTAGCTGCAGGCACTCTGCACATACCAGGCAAACACCCACTTAAGGCCTTTGCATTGGCTACTCCCTCTCCTTAGAAAGCTCTTCCTCCAAGATATTCGCCAAGGCCTTGAGGCCCACCCTGAATCACATAAATTTGGAAATTACTTTCACCCATCTTCAGCACTTCCAATTTCCCTTCTCTGCTTCACTTTTTTTTTCTCCATAGTACTTATTACTTTAAAACATACTATAACATTTACTTATTTATTATGCTTGTTGTACATCAGCCCCTTGGAAAGTGAGTTTCTTTTTTTTTTTTTTTTTTTTTTTGTGAGGAGATCAGCCCTGTGCTAACATCTGCCAATCCTCCTCTTTTTTTGCTAAGGAAGACTGGCCTTGGGCTAACATCCATGTCCATCTTCCTCCACTTTATATGGGACGCCACCACAGCATGGCCCGCCAAGCGGTGCGTGGGTGGCGCCCAAGATCCGAACCGGCGGACCCCGGGCCACCACAGCGGAGTGTGCGCACTTAATCGCTTGTACCACTGGGCTGGCCCCGGAAAGTGAGTTTCTTAAGGGCAGCAATCTTTGTCTTTTTTGTTCACTGATATATCCTGAGTATCTAGAACTGTGCCTGACACACAGTAGGTGCTTAATAAATACTGTTGGGTGAATGAATTGTCTATTTCATTGCGGAAAATCACTGCCCTCTCCAAATGGAAGGGATCCAATGTGAACAATCTACTACCACATAGCAAGCTGGCCCCTCAAGGATCTGGCACTTTATCAAACTCAGGTATGGCCTCTGTGTCTGTCAGGTTGGGCAATTAAGAGTGGCCAGATTGGCCTTGGTGAGCAGATGCTTATATAACTGAGTCCATACAGCCCTCTGCGTCTTCCACCAATGCCACTGCATACATGAACTCTTTGAGCAATCAGTCAGGGGAGTAGCTAGGGAAAGAGGCTGACTGACATTCACCTAGGGCAGGTTATCATGTCCCTCGGATTATTGAGATCTTCCTCCACAGCAAGGCCTTTTGTGAGCAATCATATAAGACACAAATAGTCTCATACTCTGCGTCCATTTGGAAAAGTCCTCTTGTATAACTTTCCCCTAATCTTCCAGTTTTGTTCTCTGCAAACCCCAGACCTGTGGCCCCTGCTCATGAATCAGAGTAGACTCTCATCTCGGGATATCTCATCTTCCAGGCAAAGTGGACCACTGGATGTGCCACTAAAAGTTCTGCCACTGGCGGAATTCTTCTTCATAATCCTTCAAGGACTCCCTGGAGTGAGGCTACAGTGCTACAATAGTGCCCTCAAGCTGATTCTGGCATGTTTATACCAGGACAGACTTTTATTCCTCCTCTGTCAACTGGTCATTGGGAACTCACCACCAGGCTATAGTTGTTGGTTGAGAGAGAGGTAGGAGAGCAACAGATTGAGCCAGTCATCATTTATTCAACTTACAGGTGCCTTCAGGTGCCAGACCTTCTGTAAATCACTTCCACTTAGTGAAGGAATGATCCTGGACATGTATGAGTTCTTGGTTAGTGGATCAGACAACTTCCAGCTCACCATGAACAGCTCAGGTCTCTGGTGTGCCATGTTCAAATACTCAGTGACTACCTGATCCAAGAGCTTTATTAAAAAAAAAAAAAGGTAATTACTTGAAGAGGGCACAGATTTGCTCCAAAATCCTAGGGTCATTGGCTAGTTATTCTCCTGTCAAGGCTTGCTACAGCCTCCACACAACATCCTGATCAGCCATAGCACTTTTGGATGCTTTGGGTGTGCTGAGTCATAAAAACTAAGGACAGAACTGATTGCACTGTAACCTAGACATGCTGAAAACCTCCTGCTTGCTCAGGGGCCCACTCAAAGATAGCAGCTTTATGTTATTGAGTCAGAATAGGGAAACCAAATGTGATATATGTTGCTTCCAATATCCAGAGTTCTATCAAGTGTTGGCATTCTTTCTTAATAGAATGGGAGCAACAACTCATCTTACTTTGAAAGGACTATCCCAACATGTTGCAAAGGGCCAGTTACACTGTAAAACCCAGGAAAGGAAGGATTACATGTCAAAAGAATTAAAAGAATTTATGAATTCATAGCAGCAAAAACCTGGATATTTTGCTGAGGATAGTAGGCCAGAGGGAGAAAGATATTTTGTTTGGAGCTAAGTTAATGGATAGAGATGCACTTGGGAGAGATTCTGGATTCAGTGTATAAACACAGCAGCTGCAAGTGGTCCTAATTAATTGCTGTCTTGATGGATCAAAACTTATACTCAACAGTGGCCTGGGCTAAATGAAGCTGAGACAGCAACAATTCCTTGGTATAATGTAGTGGAAAGATTCAAAGATTTATATATATGAGATTAATGAAGTGATTTATCAGGTATGACCCACTCACATACACCCTAACTGTGTCTCCCAAGAGGGTCCGGAGGACACTCCTTTCCACACAGCATTGAAAAATGCATTAGTGATAAAAGTCCAAGTATCTTTGAAAAGCATAATACAAACAGGCCGGGGAGAAAGGTGAGGACACTGCTTCTGAAATAGGCTCCTTGATTATGATGGAGTTCAGGGTAGCAGAAACCAAGGAAGGCATGGCTACTCTAATAGGAAGCAAGGCAAGAATGCTAATCAGAATACTATGGCTGACAAGGACTTTGGACCATGGGACCAGTACAGATATGCAGACCATATCTGTATATCTGAAAACAAAACAGAAGCCTGGCTTGAATCATCAAAGAGAGTCATGGCCACCCCATTTTTTTGTGCCAATTACTCTATCAATCAGAGTTTGGTGGCAGACAACAGAACCCACTATAGCTGATTTACAAAGAAAGGGATTTAATATAGAGTATTGAGGGAAAGGCTGGAGAATGAGGCTCTAGTCTGAGCCCCCAGGAGCAACTCCCAGAAGCAAACTGCCAAACCGTCCTGGCAAGAGAGTAGCCACTCCCCCACAGGTGACTCAAGATACACAGGGCCTCTGCTGCTACTGAAAAATTTCCAAAATCAAGAAGTTGCTATAACTGCCATTCAACATTGCCTAACTGTAGACTGACCAGGCAGTAGAGCTTGCCTTCTGTAGTGCAGAAGAATAAAAACACCCATCTCTACCATCCAGCTTCCAGAAAAGCCCACAGCAGCAATTTCATTAAGCCCAAGTCCACCCCTAAGTCTGGCAGGTGATTTGTTTAGTGGAGGAGAGGCTATGTGCAGAAACACTGGCTTCACTCTTCCCATCTCTATTGAACAAGAAGTCACGTAGAAAGGATCGGTATTAGGAGAGCCGTTCTTATCCGCCATAATAGTTCTTTTAGAACGCTTTGTTTGTGCGTTCGTATACTTTAGTGTAACTAGTAAAAGTCACAGGCAGGGGAGTGTATCAAAACAGAACAGGGGCTTTTAAATCCAAGAGATTTCAGTTCAAGTCTTGAATGTGCCACTTATTAGCTAAGTCCTTAGACAAATTACTTAAATTTTGTGGA